AAGTATGCCACTGGGTAATTAGTGACTATCCACTGATTCAGATTTAGAAAGTACTTATTATATATATATATATATTATATTTACATTAATTATATATTTGGACATTGAATGTATCGGGAGATCCATTATCCATCTATGTTGCCGGCGATATATATTATTAAGCTTTCTTCTTCATATCTTCTACAGTCTTCGCAACTATTAATTGCCATTTATCGGGGTTATTCTTTATGTACCAGTCACTAACTGCGGAGAATATTTCTTTTTGTTTTTCAGTACACTTCTTGCATTTAGTTTGATGAGCTTCGCTGAATATGCCTAAAACCAAAAAGATATTTTTTGAAATTTATTTATTCTAGTAATTGATTTCGCTCCTGATTAAAAAATTTATAGAATCTAAATACGATAGAGAATTAAAGTAAAAGAAATCTTAGAAATTTTATTCTTTTGAAGTCTTATTATTTAACATAATACTTTAAATTGAGAAGCGCCATAACGGTCAGAACGTTAAGATGTTGAACTATTGTAAATTCATTTAAATGAATTAATTTCAGAAATGATAATTGCGTGCCGATATGGTTGTCGGACTTTCAACGCAATCAAATCTGAAAATATTAATAATCCCTCCAAATTTCCCAACTTAAAAACTGTAATAAACTTATTGCGAAAAATAATGCTTCGGCCGGGAGTCGAACCCGGATCTCTTGCATTCCGTGCGAGCGTCCTAAGCCTTTAGATCTGAAATTAATTCATTTAAATGAATTTACAATAGTTCAACATCTTAACGTTCTGACCGTTATGGCGCTTCTCAATTTAAAGTATTATGTTTAACATTAGCGGTGTTTCAATCTTATTATTGCTTATTATTTAAGATATACAGAGTATATCGCGAAACTTCTCTCACCGCTTACAGGAAGATAAATGGGAGACGAACACAAAAGTTCTATATCATTTAACGATATTCGCAATAATGATAGACATTAATTTTTATAATTATACTAATAAGAGCATGCCGAGAAAAGCGCTCCAGCCGCTTGAAGTATAACTCGACTCATTATCAGTTTATTAAGCATTGGCTGCCAGCAGCGCGTTGGGAGGCAAAAGAAGAAGTGTGCCGTTTTTGAGTTATACCTCGAGCGACTGGAGCACTTCTCTCGGCTTGCTCTCATTAGTCCAATTACAAAAATTAATATCTCCATTATTATTGCAAATATCGCTAAACGGTATGAGACTTTTGTGTTCATCTCAATCCCATTTACCTCCCTGTGAGCAGTGGAAGAAGTCTCGCGGTGCATCCTGTGTATTGTTAAAGAAAATACATCTTTAAAAAACTGATGTTCATTTCAAGGATATATGATTTTACACAAAAGAATAAATGAAAAATTAATTTTGTCCCATATTCTGACAAATCAATAATCTATTAAAAAGTAATAAACATAAAAGATAAAAACATTTAGGTGAATGAGTTCTTCACAAACTTTTCTATTTCTGCTGCATTATTTTTATACAATAAAAATCGAGTTTATCTTATCAAATATTCAACAATATTTAAATACGTTATTATTAACTTTTCCTGAACTCTTTATAATTTTTAAAAATTACTCCTACAGTACGAAATATTACAACAATATTGTAGCAATATTTTAATAATATGCAATATAATGAAAATTGCAATAATATTGAAATTTTAATATTTTATTGGAAATATTGCAACAATATTGTGAAATTATAATAATATTCTATAAGAAATGTTGTAATATATTGCTACAATATTATTCAACAAGTACGCGGCTCCGCCATGAGATGAATGCGCTTCTCGTAAGAAGGAAACGTCCAGGAGTTTTATAAAGAGGCGTATATTCAATCACAAATCAAGTTGCAGGAAATGCAAGTCCCCTGGAGATTTCCGGTTCTTCGCGTGTGCTTTCTAGGATGTTTTTTGATCATAACTTTATTTTGGAATATGATGCCAAGCAATAATATTTTAGCAATTAATAAAATTGGATTAATTATTGAAATATTGTATAATGTTGTATCAATATATTTAAATATTGCAACAATATCACAAAATATTGCAGCAATATTTTATTGTAGCGGATATAATATTGCTACAGTATTGCAGCAATGTTTTATGAAATATTGTAACCTTTCAAAGTAATATTACTGCAATGTTGCTATGTAATATTTCATGCTGTAGAGATACATATATATATATTTACAATTGTAATATTGTATATGTCAGTGCTGGGATTTAGTTGCACATTTCGGCCGATTTTCGGCTTGGTTCCTGCTCCTTACTTCACCAACTCGCGCGCAGGCTAAATGCCACACACATTTAAAATTTTAAATTTTAAATTTAAAACATTTTAATTTAAAATTTTCTAAAATATAAAGCTTGGAAGCAAATAGGGAATCTTATTTTGGTACTTGTTACTTCTTGCTTAGTTTGTCATAAGAATTTCTTATTTGATATTGTAAATGATGTAAATAACAATAAAAACTTCTGTGTTACCACATATGACCAACGACGGTACACCAATTTCGCACATATTCGTTAAATATTGATTTACATTCAATATGTATAATTACGTATATCATGTATGTATGATATTTGCTCATGTTGACATACGTTGGTCATATCGTTTAGAGGCAATTTTTCTTTTACGGAAAAATCAATATTATGTAGATCAAAGAATCCAACACCAAAGAAAAAGAATTGTATATATATATTACTTGTTAGAGCTATCTGTGTTGGTGTCTGGCATGGTGCTATTTCCATGAAACAATCGTAATATGAGTCTCGCACAGTCTTATTATTGAGAGCAGTACGATAGTCAACATTATCGTATTTATCAGTATAGCGTTCTTCTTCTGCAAGAATGCACATCAGTACAAGTACATTCACAGCAACAATCAACGCAATATTGCTTAATCGAGCCATCGTTTCCACAGCTATGTCACTTGAGAGACTAAAATGCCAATGCAACATGCACTTCGTTTATATATGTTTTACTTGATAAAAAAAAGTTTCATAATGCAATAATTATATATGCAAAATATAAACATAAGGAAAACTTGACATAGAGGCTTTGAATATTAAATACGTATAAATTAGTATGTTTTAAGATACATAGAATACATTAAATTTTTTTAGTACAACGTATGCATATGGTATGTCATATGTATTTTTAAAATATGAAATGTCTATAACTTCCTATTTTCAATGATTTAGTTAATTTAAAATAACTTTTTCTTAACAAAAATATCAATGAATTTTAAATTATGGACGACAGATAGAAGAAGTAGTGTAAAAAATCAAATTGCAATATTTTTCTTTACACGCATTCTATCTAATTATTACTGCAAATATGTAATATAAATAAAAAACGTAATATAATTAATGTAAGCGTTTTGAATAAGATACCTGAGCTGAATAAGATCCAGGCACTAAATAAGGCTCACTTTTTAATTTATTACTTTAAAAGTAATAAATTTATTACTTTAAAACTCGCTTTACGCCTGCATTATATGTTTAAAAGATGTGTTATAAGAAATAGATAAAAAAAGGATTAAAGAATTGGAATCGATACAACACGTTTGTTTAATACAACAAAAACTTGTATGTATGAATCATTTTTATAACAATCGGCTGCAAAATTTACCAGTGTACAATATTTCATAATTTATTATAATTCATTATAATATTATTCAACTTCCTAACTATGAAAAATAACTAATAAATAATTTTTTTGAAATAAGTATAAGTATTTTTTTTTAAACGTGTACTTATTAAATAAGGCCCACTTATATGATTTTTATTATAGCTATTATTATTTATTTGTTATGTGTGGAGTTTACACCAGAGAATAACAATTTTCAATGCTACTATCTTTTAAGAAGCCAAAATTACATTCAAATTGTTAAAAATTTTCAAAGATTGAAGAGTTGATTACAAACAAAATTAAAGATAATTGTAATATTTGAGAGTAAAGTCCTAAGGAATTTCCTTTCTATGATTAATAATCATTTTAAAACTGATTTAGAAAGAAAATGTTTACTTTCTTTGTTATTTTTAATTTATTTTTTATTTGGGCTTTATTATATTCATATGCACAACACACAACACACAACACACACACACACACACACACACACACACACATATGTAATAAGGCCCAATGTCAGAGTTTAATAAAATTTTCTTTTCGTTCATTTACATATATATTCTATATAAATAATATATTTTATTTATGGGAGTGAATGAAATGAAGATTTGATTCTCGGAAGGATCCCGTTTGCCTACAAAATGATTGCTTACAGCTTCGTTTGCACACAGCAATATTGCACACAGCGTATTGCACACACGACATTATTGCACACTGCGTATAGCACACACGACATTATTGCATACAACACATTACATACACGACGTTATTGGCCAGTTACACTTGTATCAAGTGCGCGATGTAAACTAGGCCAATATAGAATATTGTCGTGTGTGCAATACGCTGTGTGCAATATTGCTGTGTGCAAACGAAGCTGTAGGCAATCGTTTTGTAGGCAAACGGAATCCTCCCTTCGGCTCAAATACTTTACTGCTACATGATGATTCATTTTTTAATTAGTCGAGATTGCAAAAAGATATTGTCTTCTAACAAATTTTAGATTGGAAATGGATAATTGCTGTAACACGACTTTTCATATTTATAATTTCAATTTTAACAAACACAAATCTAGGGCACAGAGCTACGTGAAATTTTCATGGGGAGGTGAAACAGTGACGATTATATAAATAATTATACAGTAAACTTTGTTTACGATATCTTATTTTTTTAAATGCTCCTTTATTTTAGAATTTATTGTAATATAATACCATTTATTTTTATATAATATATTTTTGTTAAAATAATATCTATAAATTGTATGTGTGTGTGCATACTGTCCATATGTTAATGAAAATAATTTATGCAAAATGGTTCTTTATATAATCCCACTAAACGATACCTATCACAAAGTGTTATTTAAATTATTAGATTTTGTGTGTGTGTGTGTGTGTGTGTGTGTGTGTGTGTGTGTGTGTGTGTGTGTGTGTGTGTGTGTGTGTGTGTGTGTAAATTATACTACGTGATATTATATTACATTTTAATTAATTGGAAAAATTCAAATATAGTATGTATTGGGAGATTTATATTATCCATTTGTGTTGCTAGCAGCTTTTTTCTTCATATTCTCTACAGTCTTTGCAACTATTAATTTCCATCTCTCGGGATCATTCGTTACGAACCAATTGGTTATTATCTCCATATTTTCTATTTGTTTTTTAGTACATTTTCTGCATTTAGTTTGGAAAGCTTCGCTGAACAATCCTGCAATCAATAGAGGATAAATTTTTACATTTATTTACTTTAGAAATCGATTTTGTTCCAATTTATAAATGTACAGAATTTATGTAGGATAAAGATCGATGCACCGGATATTCAGGAAATATCCGGTATTTTTTAACTATCCGGTTGAATAGTTAGATATCATTAGTATTCGGTAGTATATCCAGCTGAAATTTTATATTGAAAATTTGCATTATTGATACAGAATTTTATTCTTCTCAATTGAACTTCTTACACAGTTTATCTTTTTCTTCTTTTTCTTTTCACGTTGAAACGATAAAGAAAATTATGCTCGCTATTTTTCCCCTGTTTTTTTTAGAAACCTCGTTCCAGATATTCAACCGAATATTCATGGAAATATCCGATATTCGGTCCAATAGTTAGTTGTACTACACATTCGATTGAATATCGGATATCCGAAAAGAACATCACCAAATATCCGATATTCGATATCCGGTAATTTTACGATCCGGTGTATCCCTATTAAATATGATAGAAAATTAAAGCATAACACATATTTAAAAAATCGATATTCCTGTTCAAGAATATAACTTATAAAAAAATAAGATAAAAAATCAATTTTATCCCGCATGTCTCTAAAAAACCGATATTCATTCAAAAATTAACGTAAAACGATGAGCACATTTAATTGTTAAACGCAGTCCTCGCACACAGAAATTTTCTGCTGTATTATTGATAATACTTTTGAGGCTTTCACGGGTGTTTTCTTCAGAAGTGCCAAAGGGTTTACGAGTTGCCGTGTCATTATCAATGCGCGCCTCGCTCTGATGAAGTGAGCACGATAATAACCCATAAATCCTTTGACATCTCTGTATTATTTTTATACAACAAATTAATTAATTAGAAGCAAATTTGTCTTATTAAATATTGGATATATGTATGTCATTCTTTCAACTTTTGTTGAACTTTTTTCAATTTTGAAAAATTATACATACACTGAAAAAAAGTATAGTCAATTTTAATAAATATTTAGTTCAATACTGCCAACTAAACATTTACTTATAGTAAATAAATATTTGTTCAGTAAAAAGAATGATTGTTAAATCAAATTAATGTTTCTTGTATCAAATAAATATATCTTTATATTTAATAAATATTTAATTTGGTTGGCAGTATTGAACTAAATATTTGTTAAAATTGACTATATTTGTTTTTAGTGTATGAATAATTGCCATGGACAGATCATCTAACGACTATTATCAATAGGTAATATAGATCGTTGCTCTTTTATCATAATGATTTTGAATGTGAGCGTATTCTTCAATGAACCAGTGATTTACAAATTTAATTTGATTTCTGATTTGATAAGAATAATACATATAAGTATAAGTAATACATATAAGTTTATTACAGTTTTTAAGTTGGGAATTTTGGGGGGATTATTAATATTTTCAGATTTGATTGCGTTGAAAATCCGATAACCATATCGGCACGCAATTATAATTTCTGAAATTAATTCATTTAAATGAATTTACAATAGTTCAACATCTTAACGTTCTGACCGTTATGGCGCTTCTTAATTTAAAGCATTATGTTTAACATTAGCGGTCTTTCAATCTTATTATTGAATAATACGTATAACTGTTCTTATATATTACAATTTTTTTATAGAACTTAACGATTATACAGCTGTCAAGCTAGACAGACATCGAACATTCACAATGTTCGAATTTTATAATTTCGTCATCAATTTCACTTAATTTGATAAATCACTGAAGATTATTTGAATCAGGCCGAAACGTTCGTATATAAGTATTGAATTTAAGAAGATTTATACATAATATATATATATATATATACACGCGCGCGCGGAGTTATATTATATTATATTACATACGCTAACAATGACTGCATTGTGCTTTTAGTTTGCCTATTATACTACATGACCATATAATTGTGAACAAATTAAAATTTTATTAAAATAAAGTTTTAAAGCAAATAAAGAATTTTATTTTGTCATTTATTTTCTCTCCTGATGCTTATAATTCGTCAGAAGAATCTTTTATTCAACATCGTAAATCATTTGAAAACTACAAATACGTCGGCGTTACCGTTAAAGAAACTTCGATTTTATGTTAATCAAAGAATCCCTCATAAAAGAAAATAGAAATAGAATTCGGTAATTGTATAGATATGCTACCTGTTAATGCCTCTTGTTCTGGTGTCTTGCATGGTGCTATTTCCATAAAGCAATTATAATATTCTTGTCGTAGGTCCTTGTTTTGAAGAACAGATTGAAAATCAACGTAATCATATCGATCAGAATAGAGCTTCTCTTCTGCAAGAACACACATCAATACGTTCATAGCAATGATTAACGTAATACGGCTTAACTGAGCCATTGGTTCCACAGTTATGATGCTTGAGATAGTGCTTACTAGTTAATAAGAGAGAATCGTAAATACATTTCATTTTATATAAATCTTACGTAATAAAAAACAAATTATATGCATAAAATATATGCAAAATATGTGTTATATAAGTAAATGTGGTGACTATGTTTTATTAAAAAATATTGAAGCAACGTTAATTAATAGCTCACACTTTGTGCTGTCTGCATAAAAATACACAGCTGTCTACACAAAATAATAGGTTTCTATATTTTAACGCTTGTTTGTTGTAACTAGTGATGTTTTATTTATTTTTAAATTAAAGAAAAATGACTAATACCAGTCAAGAACGCATAATATAGTACAATGAATAGAATGTGCAAAAATTAAAACATAAAATAAATATTTCAATTAATAAAAAATAATATAAAATTATTAATAAAGTATACAATTAATATAGTGCGTATCACGCTCTCTTTCTTCTTTTTTCTCTTTAAAACATCATTAGTGATGGTAATGACACGTTTTTATCGCTTCCTGTACTTCGTTCCCTGCATCCAAAGCTACAATTAATGAGAATACGTAACTCTTCAATATTGCTAAGATCAGTTAAAATGGTGAACGCGCAATAATCTATACATCTATGCTAATAGATGAAATCGATATACAAAAACTATATGCGCATATACTGCGGTGCATAATTACTCCATCAATAAGCTTTAAGTATAAGCATTAGAAAAAATTGTTTATAAAATTACGCGCCGATATATTTTTTTTCTTATCTTCTTTCAAAGCAATGTGTGTTCAGAATAATATCACAACCACACAAAATAAAACAAGTGTCATGTCCGAGAGACTAAATCCATGTATCCCTATGTATTTTGAGACTCTGAAACCGAACATGACCTCAGAATTGCACCATCAAGTCAGGATTTTTTCTAACCTCAAAAAATTGCCAAACATCCCTTAAAATTAAATTACATTAATATTATAATTAAATTAAAATAATATTACATTATTCTGCCAAGAACCTTTTTTTAACTCAACATCGAAAATTACGCAGGTTTTTCTTACGTATTGCAAAGTGCTGAAGTAGTAGTAAATATTAGAGACTCTCAAACCCAAAGCTCCAAGTCCACGAAACCCAGAGGAAAGGGAGTTAATAACTTTTCCTAATGTTCATTTAAAGCTTATTGATGCAGTAGTTATATGCACCGCAATATTGCTAAGATCATTAACTCATCTTAGCAATATTGAAGAATACTCTCATTAACTGTAACTTTGGATGCAGGGAACGAAGTACAGAAGGCGATAAAAACGTGTCATTACCATCACTAATGATGTTTTAAAGAGAAAGAAAGAAAGATCACAGCGTGATACGCACCATGTTAATTGCATATTTTATTAATAATTTATATTATTTTTTATTAATTGAAATATTTATTTTATGTTTTAATTTTTGCACATTCTATTCATTGCACTATATTATGCGTTCTTTGACTCGTATTAGCTGTTTTTTCTCTAATTTAAAAATAAATAAAACATCACTAGTTACAACAAACAAGCGTTAAAAAATAAATAAAACATCACTAGTTACAACAAACAAGCGTTAAAAAATAGAAACCTTGTACTTTGTGTAATTAGCGTTTTTTTTTGTGCAGATAGCACAAAGTGTAAACTATTAATTAACGTTTCTTCAATATTTTTTAATAAAACATAGTCACCACATTTACTTATATAACACATATTTTGCATATATTTTATGTTAAATAATTTATTTTTTATTACGTAAGATTTATATAAAATGAAATGTCTACGATCCTCTCTTATTAACTAGTAAGTATCTCAAGCATCATAACTGTGGAACCAATGGCTAAGTTAAGCCGTATTACGTTAATCATTGCTATGAACGTATTGATGTGCGTTCTTGCAGAAGAGAAGCTCTATTCTAATCGATATAATTACGTTGATATTCAATCTGTTCTTTAAAACAAGGACCTACAACAAGAATATTATAATTGCTTTATGGAAATAGCACCATGTAAGACACCAGAACAAGAGGCATTAACAGGTAGCATATCTATACAATTACCGAATTCTATTTCTATTTTCTTTTATGAGGGATTCTTTGATTAAAATAAAATCGAAGTTTCTTTAACGGTAACACTGACGTATTTGTAGTTTTCAAATGATTTACGATGTTAAAAGATTCTTCTGACGAATTAAGCATCAGGAGAGAAAATAAATGACAAAATAAAATTCTTTATTTGCTTTAAAACTTTATTTTAATAAAATTTTAATTTATTCAATAGTAATTATGCTGATGAGGGGAGCCAACCCTGATGACCTTGACCTTGACATATGTTGTCAAGCTCATGACTCTGAGTGACTTCCAACAAGTTTTAGCCGTTGCTCGTCATTCGTTAAAAAGTTATTGACAATTAATGTTAGTAATTATTTCACTGCTTCACATGAAAAGTCAGTTAACTTTGGGCAGCAAGAGAGGTATGGGGTGAACTGATTAAGGGAATATGACTTTCCATCCCTCCTTCGACTCTCACTCCCTCTTCCCCTCTGCAAAGGGGCGCCCGACTCTCACCTTCGACTCTCACCCCCGCTCCTCCCCTGCAAAGGGGCGCATAACTCCCACCTTCGACTCTCACCTCCCCTCGCCCTGCAAAGGAGCGCATGACTCTCACCTTCGACTCTCACCCCCTTCACCCCCTGTAAAGAGGCGCAGTGAAATGTATCCTATTAATAATAATGTTGTATAAAATGTTTAGTGGAATTGAAAAATCTATGTGGAATAATACAATTATATATCTTGAAAATTATACATTAATATCTTACCTTCGGCTTTAACCTTCACCTCCCCCCTGCAAACAATACAATTATGGAAGTCGGGCGCCCCTTTGCAGGG